GCAAGCACATTTGACATGCTTTATGAAAATTGGGTCAAAAATAAATCTCTTAACTAGATATGAGAGATTGAAAGTGGCATGCCAGCCATGCTTCATGTGAGTTTTTAGTTTTTTGAGGGGGAAGGTTGTTCTTTCACTTTCAATTACTTCTAATGTTTTTAGCATTTCGTGAACCTCATTTCTTCCAACATGTCAAAGGTGTTTGTTTGTCTGCACTAAGAACTAGCTTCATTGTAGTTTGAAGATCTGTTGTAAGGGAGTCATGTGGCTTCTGTCAGATTTTGGAGACAGCCAACTCGAGCTTACTCAAACAGTCTAGGAAAGGAATAAAATCTCAGATTTCTGATGAAATGTTTTATAAAAGAAAAATCATGCTCTTACTCATTACTGTTTCCAGAGAGATTTTCCCTGTCTTGGCATCAATCAGTCACCACCAATCATTAAGCTGTCCTTTCAGATAGATGGCCATTTTAAAGGCTAGTGAGCTCAACTCACCTTACTCTAATTAACCTGAGAAGAGACTTAACAAATTCGAAGGATGTAAAAATAATTTTCAACATTAAATTAAAGGACAGCCTCTGATAAATGTGGTGTGGTTGAAAGAACACCAAGTCTTAGAGTTAAAGACCTAAGTTAGAGTTTCACCTTGACCACTCACTGATTGTGTGACTGGGTACAACTGAAGACCTAGTTTCTTTACCTGTAAAATGAGGGTTATTCAAGGGTATGGGAGGTGACTGGGTCCATGGTACAGCAGGACAGAATCAGTCTGAATGAAAGATTTAGTAGGCTACCAATTTCTAGAGCTCTATAAATAGCAAGGAGCCTAAAAGATGGATTTTGGCTCCTCGGGATGAAAGGATCTGAAAATTGAAAGGATGTTGTTGTTGATCCTTCATTCTCAAAGAGGACCAATGAAAGGCAGAGCTGTGTAATGTACAACTTCACTCTCTCTCCTCCAGAGTCATTGAAATCCAGGGGCAAGACACAAGTCAAGATGACTGATGATGGCCCAGTGAAAGGATACATAGCTTAGTGGAATAATCCTTAGCTTTAGATTCAGAGGACCTGGGTTTGAGTTCCAGTGCTAGCATTTTCCACCCTAGACTTCATCTTGAGCCAGTCTCTTTATTCTCTGGAATTCAATTTCTTCATCTATAAATGGAGTAAATGGTCTATAACAGCATTCCAACTCTAAAAATCCTATGGTCCTTTGAACCTTGGGGGCCATCTAGGCCAATCTGTACTTTACCAGAAATTCCCTAAATGGCATCCTGACAAATACTAAATCCAGATGTTGCTTGAGAACTTCCAGTGAGAGGTAAGTCAACCTGCCTCTACCTCCCAAGGCAGCTCATTCTACTTGTAATCATTTTGTTTAGTAGGTTTTCCTTACTTATGGCCTACATCTGCCTCTCTGAATCTTCTGCCCATTGCTCTTAATGCTGCCATCTTTGTAGCAGCTGCCATAGGTCATATGTGCATCAGACCCAGCAAACATGAGTTCACTTGAATATTAAAGGTTGGTAGATTAGGTGGCCCCTAGTATGATTTTATGGTTGTGGAAAGGGCCCTTTGTCCACCACAATACCTCTCTCAACTGCTTGATTATACTTGGGAGGAAGCAAAATGGTGTGTAAAAAAAGGCACCCAGCTTATAGGAAAAAGACCTGGCCTCAAGTCTAGATTCCATCACTTAGTGACCCTAGGCTTCATCTCTCAGCTTTGCTTTCTGCCCTTTGAAAATGGGGATAATTCTTCCTATGTCTACCTGACAGGGCTGTTGTGAGGGCTGAATTAGATAATGTATCTAGAGTATTTTGTGAGCTAAAAATTAGTGTATATATATATTATATATATATATATATAATATATATATACACATATATATATATGTGTATATATATGGGATTATTATTATTGAAGACATACTATATAAGTTCTTGGTATGTCCTGCCCCATTTTGGTCATTTGGAGTGAAACAGAATTAAGTGATGTCGAGCTGGGGATCACTGTTTGTCCATTTTATAAATGGACGATGTTCTGCCTATAGGCAGAACAAACCAAGTTCTAAGTACCTACTGTGCTATGTCCTGAGAGAAATGCAAATTTTATATAAGATATGATCCCCGCCCTCATGGAGCTTGCAGTCTACTAGGGAGGTAAGACACAAAGATAACTACAATTACAAATACAGCAAAAGAGTTCAGAACAAAGTGTTACGTGAAGGTAAAAGGGAAATGTCATTATTGAGAGGGGGATGGTCACAAAATGGGAAGGAATCCTGGTAGCAGACTAGAGATGGTATGGGCACACAGTAGGTACTTAATAAGGCAGACAGGTGTGATACAGTGGAAAGAACATTGTGTTTCTGAGTTCAAATCTGGCCTCAGACACTTAACTAGCTGTGTGACCCTGCACAAGTCATTTAACCCTGTTTGCCTCAGCTCCTCATCTGTAAAATGAGCTGGAAAAAGAAATGGCAAACCACTCCAGTATCTTTGCTAAGAAAGCACCAAATGGGGTCATGAAGAGTTGGATGCAACTGAAATGACCAAACAACAGGTATATGACCTTGGTAAATACTTTTAATCTTCTCTTTCTCAACAAATGAATAATCTGAGTTTCCTAATTTCTAAAATTGGGTGAATGCATGCACTACTCGTACCATAAGGTTGTTGTGCAGATCATGGGATTTAAAGCTGGAAAAAAACTTTAGACATTAGCTAATCCATTGGTGCCAAAATCAGATAAAAACGGAGAGACTACTAATTCATACATAAGGATCCCTGCAGTGCTTTAGTTTTAAAATGTAATGTTATTTATGTTTCATTGCATTTTTATTTATTTTATTAAATATTTACCAATTACATTTGAATGTGGTTCAGAATGCACTTGGCATTGTTGCAGGCTGGACATTATGTCTGACATCTTTGATTTAGTCCAACCTCCCATTCCACAAATGAGGAAAGGCTCCCAGAAGGAAGACACAGCTAATAAGTTGCGGAAATAGGATTTGAACTTGGGTCCTTTGACTCCAAGTCAGTGGTCTTTACACTATATCTTACTGCCCTCATCATGTGAGATGATGTATGTAAAGTAACTATGGATTTTGTAATAGAAATCTTTGAGCCCCTAACCAGAGCTAAGGCTTAGAATGCAAACATCCTGGGGAGAGAGGGCTGTGGTCAAAATTCACCCTACCTTATCAATATCTTTTGCATCTTACTGGGAGAACAAATTTTGATAGGAGGAAGATATGGAACACCTGGAGGGGAAAGAGGAGGGGGAGGAACAGACTCTAGAAGGGGATCTGCAGGACCAAAGGCCTCACCTCATGGTCTTTCCTGGTACAAGCACTGCTTTAATTTGGATTGCTGATTCTGCCACTCTAATGTCTTGAAAATATAAACATAGAGCACAGTAGCCCCCAGAAACTTTCTTGTTGATTTCAAGAAGTTTGGAACTGAAATCAGTGTTTGTAGAAATGCTAACATTATGTCTAGAGCATTGCCATGGCCCAGTGAATTTTCTTTAACGATGCTAATATGTGATAGTAACTTAAGCTGCTTTCTCTTCCTTTCCTATTAATTGTTCTAATGTATAAGAGTTGATTTTCCCCCCAGAGGTGGCATCCCTCTTCTGTGGTTAGAAGGATAGAGAGGAATTATGGCTCAATGGAAAGAGTGATGAACTTTCCTAATGTACCTGGAGTCATGAGTTCGAATCCTGACTCTACCCTAGGCTCTGCCACCTGTGTGGCTTTGGACAAGTCATTTAAATTCTCTAGATCCCCATTTGTTCCTATGTAAAATGAGTGAATTGGACTAGATGACCTTTGGGGCTCCTTCCAGATCTTGATCTATGATCCTACAAAGACACAATTCCCTGACATTTCTATGTCCATGGACATTAGTGTTTTCAGGGAAGGATGAAAAATATTCAGAAGAATTTGTTGAATTTTCATGTTATTAATGTGAATTAACATTGTGATTTCACCCTTGTGGATCCTCCTTCCAATCCATCCATACTTTCTTCCTATTTGACTCTGGTTCAGGTCCTCTCGCAAATCCTTCACTGGAAGTCCACCATAGGTATTTAAAGCTGTCTTCTAATTCTCTTGACTTTGGACCTTGTGTGGATACTCCACAAAATGTCCATCAGTTCAATTCAGGAAGCATTTATTAAGTGCCTTCCATGTGCTAGGCACTGTGGATACAAAGACAATAACTACTCCCTGCCCTCTAAGAACTTATATTCTACTGGGGTGATGATGGAGAGACATAGTGTGAATGTTGTTCAGTCACATCCAACTCTTTGTGACCCCATGGACCAAAAGCATGGATTTTCTTGGCAAAGATACAGGAGTAGTTTGCCTTTTCCTTCTCCAGTGGATTAAGGCAAACAGAGGTTAAGTGACTTGCCCAGGATCACATAGCTAGTAAGTGTCTGAAGCTGGATTTGAACTCAGGTCTTCTTGACTCCAAACCCACTGCAATATTCATTGAGCTACCTACCTGCCTAGATATGACATGTATACAGATAAATAAATTGGAAATATGTACAAGATAAACAGTAATATCATAAGGGTAATGGCACTAACAACAAGAGGGTAATGACATCTGAGCTGTGCTTTAAAAGAAAATAAGTATTCTAAGAATCAGAGGTGAGGAGGTGGGGCGTTCTCGGCATAGGGGAGAGCCTGTACAAGAAGCACAGACATAGGAACTGGAGTGCCATGTGTGATGAACAGCAGGTAGGTCATTCATTCCTTGCTCTCACCACCTGACCACCCCACCTTCTTTTCTGTCCACAAACTTCTCTGATGATATCCTTCACAATATAGATTGATGATTTCCAAATCTAGCATCATCGGTAACAAAAGTGGTAGTCTCAAAAATAAATCTGGTAAATGATATGTACAGAACCCTAGCCTAATGAATAAGCTGAACACATATGTAACCAAGGATGTGTTTATTTTCTTTTTAATTCTGGAAAAGGGCTACATGATGGAGAATCGGATCTCAGGCTTAAAATGTGACTCAGACGTGTTTGTGACCTTTGAAGGCGACAATGTGGTCATGCTCCAGGTAAGGTTCCAAAAGCGCTCACTTCCCATAAATTGTCCAACTTGTAAGAACAAAGAGTCACCCAAACCAGAGATATTTCTTGTGTTTCATCTGTCTGGGATTTTGTCATTGCATTTAGCAACTTCTAGCCCAGGCGCCATTTGATGTTTACCGTATGTGATGGCGGAAGAGGGCTGTTCTCTTCCAGCTGATCTTTTGATGTTGAATGAGATCCACTTATGATGGGAAAACTGCTGGTGTTGCATCTCCAGGCAGATTCTCTGGGCGCCAGAATTACTCCCTAAGAGTTTGTCAGGCACTTCTGCAAAGTGATTAGAGCTCAGTTACACACACCGCAATAGTAAACTAATTGGTTCCCTGGTGGCAAAACCAAGTAAATTTAGCTTCCAAAGGGATCTGCTGTTTAAGAAAAAACCTTCATTCATTTGGCCTGAATTAATTCAGAATTTGTGACAATTTGACCTATGTGAAGCTACTTTATTTGTGAAGACAGAGTTCATAAATAAAACATGACTTTAGGAAGTAGAGGGCTCTGGAAAAGAGTGCTGGACTTGGAATCAAAGGATCTGAGTTTGGGTCCTACCTCTGCCAGTTGCAGTGTGAATGATCGCAGGTAAGCCCTGGGGTCTCCATGTCTTTTTCAGTAAAGTGAGAGGATGGATTAGGTGGCCTTTGAATGTTCTTTGCAGCTCTGAGTCTATATATGCAATCACTCTGTGATTGATACATTGCAGAAATTGAGTTTGGATTTATGACATTGTAGAATCAGCTCCTTAAGGGTAGCTTCCTACCGGGGAGAGGTCAGCAAGGCTCCATGTGCCTAACTAGGACATTTGTGTTGCAAAGGTTCAACCACAAATTCCGGCTCATGGTCATCATGTAATGGCCTTTCAGTGTGACTATAGTCATAGCCTAAGGCATTCTTACCACAAGGGTGAAAAGAAAACCCAGAGAAAACTCAGGAAAACCCTCCTGAAATATTAACATTAGATAGAGGGGCCTGGGAAAGCAACAGGAAGAACTGGAAGTCTTCTCTCCGAGCCACTGTGATGGCATCTCGTAATTACTGAGATGTGGTGGCAAAGCAAAAATAATTTGGACTCTGGGCTAGAGTAGAGAAGAAAACCAGACAGTGCTCCCATATACAGAATATATATCTAAGTAATCTTCAAGGCCTAGAAAGTAGAAGATGGGTAGTGGAGAGATTGTGTGTGAGTTAAGGGGAAAAAGAAAAAGAACAAGAAAAGCACCTTTATGGGAAATTATCATTATTATTGGTAAGAATAATAATAACTGACCTTCATGTAGTGCTTTAACTTTGCAAAGTGCTTTGCAAATGTATCTTACTTGAGCCTCACAATAAGCCCATGTGGTAAATCCTACAATTACTATTCTTCCCGTTTTATAGATGAGAAAACTGAGGCTGAGAGAAGTTATCAGCATGTTACAGTAGAAAGAGTACAGGATTTAGAATCTGAGGACCTAGGTTCATATCCTCTCTGTGTCAGTGACCTAAGGGAAATTGTTTAATCTCTCTCAGCCTCAATTTCCTTATCTCTAAAATGAGGGGATTAGATTAGATAGCTCTTCTCAGCTAAGGTTTTACCTTCTGCAAGAATGCCTCTCCTACATCTTCTTAATCTAAGTGCTTTCCCTCTGAGATTACCCTCCATCTGTGCTGTATACGTCTTATTTATGCATAGCTGTTTGTATGCTCTTTCCCCATTAGACTGTAAGTTTCTTGAAGGCAGGGAGTGTCTTTTGCCTTTCTTTGCATCCACACTGCTTGTCACAGTGCCTGGCACATAGTAGGTGCTTAATAAATGCTTATTGACTTGACTTTAAGGTTCTTTTTAGCTCTAAATCTGTGATCTTATGACTTGTAAGGATGATGCAGCTAGCAAGTGTCTTAGGTGGGCTTCAAATCCATTTCTTCCTACGTAGATCTGTCCATGTCATCTTCCTGCTCAGAACTCCAGTGGCTCCCTAATTAACTCCCAGATCAAGTCTTCTGGTTGATGTTTTCTTTATAACCATGCCCCTTTCCTATATTTCTGGTCTTAGACTTTAGTCTGCTCCACATACTTTATGAACCAGCAGCATTGACCTACTCGCATTTCCTCAAATGCAGCACACCATTTCTTATCGCTATTTGTTTTCACTGGCTGATTGTCATTACTAGGATGCTCTAACCCCCTGACCTTAGTTTCTCTGGCTTCCTTCAAGACTCACTTCAAATCCTATCATCTGTAGTAGCTGGTCACCCCAGCTACTAATGCTTTCCCTTCCTCTGATGCCTTACATCGACTCTATGTTTTTTGTGTGTACTTATTGTTATGTTGTCTCTTCTATTAGAACGTAACCTTTTTGTGGGTGGGGACTATTTTTGTATCTTCAGTGCTTAGCATAGTGCCTTTGCACACAGCAAGTACTTAATATGTGGTCCTTGACTGACTGATATGGGGAAGCTTGGTTTTATTTAAAGCATTAAGCAATTTTCCAAAGACAATACAGGCTTCTCTCCTCCTCTTCAATTCTGGGCCCAGCTTATGAGCAGTATCTCTCCAAAATAGTGATGGGCCTGCTCCATATGCTGTCCATCCAATTGCAAACTATAGTCTGGACAACAGGCATTCTTTGTCCACTTGGTTTTTACAGGGTGGATTTTCATTTCATATTTTTCTTATATTTTTGTCCTCTTATCTCCAGCATAGTGTTGTACGTACTAATTGCTTAATAAATTCTTGCTGGATAAGATTGAATCATTAGGCCAACCTCTTTTGAAATTAGTGTTTATTGTCGATATGTGTGATTTCATTCATATAGGAAGTTCCTGGTATGGATACTCCTTCTACAGATACAGATGAGCAGTTCATCAATAACCATAATCTTAAAGAGTTCCTATGGCCATTGAGAGATTTATAGAACTTGCCATGGTCATACAGCTAATCTGGGTCAGATTAACATCAACTCCTGCCTTCCTGACTCCAAGCCTGGCCCTCTATCTGCTATGCCATATTGGCTGCCTCTCGGGGTAATTCTGGATAGCTTTTCAGAGGCTCTGTGCTATTCTGGGCCTTGATGCAATCAGTATTAGATCCACAAATAGGAACAGCTAGAGTGCCTCACCATCTAAAAGGAATCCCTCTTCCATTGGGACTCCACATGGCTGTGTCCTGAGATGATGGAAAGCACCTTTGACAAGCATGTCTGGTTTTTATTTGTTGCTCGACATTAAGAGCCAGAGTTGTTTAAGCAAGATATCTCTATTGTAACATTTTTTCAAGGAGTCTTGTAAGCTCTTGACATGCATAGAAAACACCTCATTGGGGAATCTGCATAGTGGTAGTATTCTATACTGAATCAGTCTTCAAACAGTAAGCATAGTGAGATTTTATTCTCCATACCTAGAAATCAATTAGGTGAGTATAAGAATGTCTTCCGTACAATATGAGCTTCCCTGTCCCCTTTCCCAAACCTACTCTCAATGCTTGGGTTGATTAATTCTAATAAAAATTATGTAGAGATTTTAAAATAGATATATGGCTGAATATGGTTATCAGTACTCTCTCAATCGCCTTTCAGTAATGATAATGTCAGTTTTTATCTAAACCTTTGGTTTTCTCCCCCTCCTTTAGTTTAAGATGTTTGGAGAAGCCATTCCTCTAGACCCACAAAATGACTTTTAAATTTAAAACTCAAAAGCTTATGGAAGTGATTGTTGATAAATCAAAATAAATTAATTTAAAACAGAAAAAAACAAAATGACTTTTCTTTTAGAATGGATCTTCTCTGAGTATAATTGATCCCATCCTGCTATTCTTCTCAGCTTTGTTTTCTTAGGTATCATTTCCATTTCATCACATAGAAAATTAGGGACTGTGATACTAAGAGTTCAAATGCTAGAGGACCATTGTTACTGATGGAGAAAAGGATTTGTTGTAAAAAATTTTTTTTTTTACAGATTTGTCATGTCTTTGTTGTTCTTTCTGATAAATGCCCTTGGGATGATTTTGCTTTGTTGGTTTTCTCACATAGCTTCCCTTTACAACTGCTTGCTGTTTATGAGGCAAAACTATTCATGATCTTCTATCATCCTCCTCTGTAAAGTTTTACAAATTAGCTGATATTCTATGTAGTCCTTTGTGGCCCCTGTTCCAACTGGGAAAGGAGACCAAGTGTTTTCTAAGGTCTCTAGGTTCTTAAAATTTTGTTGTTGTAATGATCATATCATTTTAACTTCCATTTAAAAAAATGATGGTAGTCAGTGTCAATATGTGTTCTTTTATCCAGTTCTCATTTTTTTGCATCAATAAATTATTTAAATAGGTCATTTGAATTGCTTCAAATGTAAATCTAATCTCACGTTTATTCTTCCAATTTATAATTCCTATTTTGCTTCAACAAGTTGGTAGTCTTAACTATATACAGATGGCAAATTCAAAAATGACTTCCAAGGCAATAATCAGTTGTTTCCTTTCTGTTGGAATATAATCAGTTTCATTTTTTGTGACATTTTTGGGTAGTTACCATGTCTCATGTCTTCAATTTTTTTATTGAAAAAAGTATTCATGATTTATAGACATTTGGCTGTGGAATAATCTAGAAGCTATTGGAATATTGCTTTTTTTTCTTTTCTTATTGCTGAGTCATATTTTCCAACATATTTTTCACCATCATCTCTTGTGCCCATTTTTGCACTGGAGTCACCAAATATTAAGGTGTATTTTGGTTTAATTTGAAAGGTCTTATTGATTTCTTCACAGAATTTCCCTACCTTCTTATCTCTACCAATGGTATAATCTCTTGGATTTCTCCCTCCATCAACTTTTTGTTTTGTTCTGTTTTTTCCTTTTTGGTGAGGCAATTGGGGTTAAGTGACTTGCCCACGGTCACACAGCTAGTAAGTGTCAAGTGTCTGAGGTCAGATTTGAACTCGGGTCCTCCTGACTCCAAGGCCGAAGCTCTATCTACTGCGAGTCATCTAACTGCCCCTCCTC